CCCAAATCCAAAAAAAAAAAAAATAATAATAATAATAATATTCTGGCAAATATAATTTATTTTTAAATTATGATATCCATTTAAAAATAAATTAAATAATATTTTTAGGATGGCAAAAACTGAAAACTCTAACATTAGAAAGGACTGTAACTATGATGAAAGGTTATCCAAATAAAATTGAAAGATTTACATATATAACATTTAAATTTCTATATATTTACATATCTACCGCCTAAAATTTATTTTTATATAACTATATATTATCTTATTTATATGTGATAAAGATGTATTTCATTTTTAAAAAAAATTAAAATAACAATTTTTTTTAATGTGATTAAAAGATTTGAGTGATTTTAAATGTTAAAAATGAAGTTTAGTTCATGCATATATAGTGATAAATTAATTAATTTAAAATATAATTATTTATTATAATATTATTAATCATATCACATTTTCAAAGTCTAATCATAATTAATAAAAACTAATCCATCTAATTCCAAGAATTAAATGGGCCCATTACACATAATCATTTTCTCCTAAGATAATCACAAACAATTAACAATAATCTTATCAATATTCAAAACTAAATTCCTATATCCGCATAAAAAAATTTGCTTAGGATGTGAGGGAGGAGTTTGTCGTCCGGTTCGCCGGCGCGACATTATGCGTATAAAAAAGGCGGTGGATTCAAATAAGGAGCTCACACTTCGCCGGCGGCGAGTCGCCGGAAATAGTCGATAGGGTCGCCGGAGAACCACCGATGGCACACTGAGCTGACGTTCACTATGCGGCCTTCAATTCCCGTCTCCCTCGCCGTTTCGACCATCTTTTCCAGCAGCAGATTCGTCAGCAAGAAGTGACCTAAAAATATTCTAATTAATTTCCCAAAAGTCCAGAAAAAAATTAGTTTTTCAGTACGTACAATCATGTCATACAAGATTATACTCGCACGAGTACATTTATGAATATACTATTGTATAATATGATTGTAGTGTAGTCTGCATGCTCCGTACCTAATACTTTTTCCAGAAGTCTTAAAGGTAGACATGGAGATTGTATGTACTCACCGATAAAGTTAATGGCGAAGGTAAGCTCAAATCCGTCCTCCGACTCCGCTTGATCAAACACGAATCTTCCAGCATTATTTCTGCAAAATTTAATTATCAATTTAAAGAGATTAAACAAAAAAATGTGGCATTTAATTTTACTTATTTCATAATGTATTTACTTATTTCATACTCAAAATTTTATTTTTATATGATAAGTATGAAGAATTCATCTCGTTATCATGTAAAAATCAAAATTTGAGGTGAGACATCATGTAAAAATCAAAATTTGAGGGTGAGATAAGTAAATGCATAAGAATTGGGTGGTATGTATGTAAATTCCCCAAAAATTTGTATGCAATCATTTGATTAATTACATTAGGATGTTTAGAGGGAATCCAAGCGCGAGGAATTGGGAGGCGAAGGATCGAACAGAGGAGAGCGAGCTGAGATCGAGGGGGAGGATGGTGAGGTCACCGCCGGCGATGCTAGATTTGAGCTCTTCGGCGGCTTCAGTGTTCCTCGCCGGGAGAATCACCCGCGCGCCGCGGGCTGCTCCAGGCCAACGGGGCCGGCAACTCATCGTCATCCTCGACTTCCCGGCATCTCTTCTGGCCAATCGAAACTCCAAATATCATCGGATTCGGGTCGAAATTCCAGGCCGAGGATCCCGCACCGGAGGACGATGGAGGCGGCGGCGGCGGGGGGGGGGGGGGGGGGGCCGAAGCCCGCTCGGCCCTGTGGAGCCGAAGAGGTATTTTATGGTATCCGCTAGCATTTTTTTTGTATTTACGTGCTCGACCCTTGGAGTATTTTCCTGCTCTGCTTCTCCGTTTGAGGAGGATGGTTCTCTGCGGTGAGCTTTTGTGTGGTGTTTAGTGGCACGTGCGGGTGAAGGAATTTATTTATCATTTTTTTTTATTTTTTTGGGAATTTATATGTTACCATTTGGATTTGTCCGTGACTCACACCCCTGATATAAATAGGGCGTAAGTGATAAGATAAAAAAAGACGAGAGAGTAACGAATAGGAATGATCGTCTAGATTAATATGAATGAACATCTAATTATTGGATATGTTGTATTGGCATCAGTTTTGAATAATATGATGTCTTTTGCTTTCAGTTTATTTAGTTGTCTTGTTAGGATTTGTTTTTTTTTTGTGGTTTTTTTTTTGTTAATCAATTGTATTTCTTTTGTTGTAATAAAGGAGGAGTTGATTCTCATTTTTTTTAATTCTTATTCCCTGATGAAGAGCCTCGAGAGTCTTCGTGGGACAGCGGGACTGGACTATTTCTTTGAATTGGATCTACTAGAAGGTAGGTCGATATATTCGCTATGCTTTTAAATGGTTAGTTGGGATGCTTATCTGTCTTGTTTGGTTTGATTGGTTCAGACTCAAATCATTCGTTCGTTCTTTTTGTCATTCTCCTGGCCTAATCGGCTTTGGACCACGGCTCAGATGGTTACATCCAATCGGACAATTGAGCCTCTTGATATTCTGTCAGCGGACCTTTCTTTATCACGCTTCCTCTCTTATGATTCGTTGGATCTCTTCGGAATCTACACTCAACACATTTTTATGTGCACATATATATAATAGACAAAGTATTAGAAGCTGTATATTTCACACCCAATATTATTTATTCACATATACATCTAAAAAGACTTACAAGTGCCTCTGAAGGAAGACGGCTTGAATCTTCTAGGGCTTGCCTCGAGTCAGCCTTCGACTCATCTGCGTTTAACATGATATGTATTAGTATATATATTATACTTGTAGTTATTGTACCTTTCCATCCTCTACTTGTATTTATGGCTTGTATATTTGATTAATCACAACTCTATGTAATGCTTAATGAAGTAATAAGAATCATATTTCATCTTGTTACTCTCCTTTGTTTCTTTCTCGTGAGAACTCATTAATATCATCTAAAATATTAAAATTAAATCACATATAGCACACACAATGATCTTCTCTCATGCTGCCAATGATTCCTTCATGAAAGTTGAATACGGAACTCAACCCATGACCGTGATCTACCAACCTCGTCACCTCCAAGCTTGTGAAGTTGCCACCTCCAACATCATGAAGTCACTGGCCTTCCATCTTGAATCCTTTATGTTAATGATGATGATATCTGCATTATATAGAACTAAAAACATCAAAATGTACTTTAAAAAAAGAAGAAGAAAATGTACATACATGCAACAAAATTCTAGTACCATTTACATGCATACCACACAATTTTTTTTATATTAAAATATCTAACTTCTTATTTTTCTTACTTTTTTAATAAACTTTGGTTTAAAAGTTCTATGTGAATCTGTAGGCTCATCACATTTATGAATGAGAGACGGGGAAATGTAAAGCAATGAACATTAATTTACAAGATGTGTTGATCCCGATTTTATATGTCAGTACAATGTATGCAGTAATGTTCTTAATTTTTTTTCTTACTTATAATTCTGACTTTGCAACGAAGCAAAAAAACTTGATCATCAACAAAGAATAAGCAAAAACTTTACTTCAAAGCAAATAAGAATACAACTTTATATTTAAATATGAGATACTACGCAAGTATACGTATCGTTATTAAATAATAAAAGACTTTTTTATTAAGCCCCGAATATCGAACCCGTAGGGATAATTAACAATATGCAACTAGAATCAGAAGAAATTAGATAACAAATTTTACCTATCAAAATATTCTTACTTGAATTATATATGCAATAATATGAATGAAAATTTGATTCTTTTAGTAAATTTTTAATAATTGAAAGCAAAGTAAATAACTAACTAAGCTTAACTAGATATTTGTAAGATGAAAGAAATATAAATAAAATATATTTTTCCTTTTTATGAATCAGTAACAAGTATATGAATTTTATTGTAGAAGTGTTCAAATTGTGCTATGTCAAATAGGAGTAGTAATATTATTTACCCTCACTAAAAATGCTATAAAGAGCATTGACTAATTTAAAGTTTATATAGTCTTGAAGACGGGTTAGGTACGAAAGATACTAGCTCTCATTCTAGAGTTTCATCTTCTTCCGTCATCTGAGGGCTAACATCTCGTATCAAAACCCAAAGTTTATTTCCCTATTTATTTGCACTTAATTATATGAATTACATTCTCATACATATAATATCATGTGATTCTTACCGTTTATTGATTGAAACAATAACATCTCGGATCTTACATGGTCTCACAACATATATTAACATTTTAATTGGTCAAATCAAGAAGTAAATGAAGTACAAGGTTTAAAATCATCAGAACTTATTCAAACGTTAAAGATTAATACTTCACACAACTTTCATCAAATGCTTAATCACTTATCATTTTAAGAAAAAAGATAAAGAAAATTACTCAGAATTCAAAGAGAAAATACAACCATACTTAAGTTTGAAAGTAGAAATCATGCAAACAAACAAGAAATCTAAGTTAAAACCAAATGTAGTTATAAAGATAAAAACTTAGCTCAAATTCTCTCCACCAAAATTTTGAAGCTCTTTTAAATCTCTTTCTTTACTTACAATACAAACTACAACTCAAAATAAAAAAAGGGACGACGGCGTGTGGATATGGGCGTCAGT